GCTCCAGACTCGGGGATGGACAGACCTCCCTTTAGTAAAACGTGGTTTAGTGAAAACGACCTCGGGCCCAAACCTGGCGGGCACAGGCCTGGAAAATAACGGCCGCGGCGCCCTCTCGAGAACCGAAAACGGACAATTCACTAATCGACGTGTCACTGTTGGGGGTTCTGTCCACCCCCGACAGACCTCTTCTTAGTGCGACTGTTTGCGACAGTGCGTCCTACGAGGGGAGACTCCACCTGCTCCAAACAGGCGCCAAAAACAGCCAGGATCCCCGCCGTAGGGGTGGGAGGGAGGGCCAGGGCCCGCGCCGATCGGCAAAAATCACTAACACGAAAACGATCACAAACCCCATGGACGAACCGACTGGGTATGGGGAAACGACTGATGGCAGAACCTGAACCGAACTTGGGCCCCCCTGGTGGCGCCTCCAGCACCGCCCCTGGGGGGGTGCAGCGCCGGTCCGAGGAAGCCGCGCGGACCTCCGATGGACTCGTGTTTATGTCGCTGTTTGCTCCCCGGAGATGCCTTTTCTGAAGGGGAACTGGAACACACAAATAAATACACACAAATAAAAATATCCCCCATATTTTCCCATATTTTCTGGGTTTTTGTCTTCCCCCCCACTTCCCATATTTTCCCATATTTTCCTCGGGATCGAGGATTAATTGTGTCTGTGTGTTTTTTCCTCTCCTGATTTTCGTCGGTCGCAAGGCAACGGCCACAAAAGCAGCTCGCAACAGTGCCGCGACACGGTGGAGCGGTCCCCGTTGCCTTCTTCTCTGTCGCGCGCTCTGCGGGGGACGGCACGCCGCCCACCACAGCGAGCATCCTGTGGGAAGCTGTGCCGCCACGTTTGGGGAGGCGTGGCCGCCCTTCGCAGAAGAGTGGCCATGCGAAGCCGATCTGTTAGGAGGCAACTACTGGGAGGTTTTCGTCGGAAGGATTAAGGAGGATTAAGCCCCATTGGGGGGCTCTTACGCAAGAGTGGGCCTCGGATTAAGCGGGATTAAGCCGGATTAAGCGGGATTCATCCGGATTAAGCGGGATTAAGCGGGATTAAGCCGGAGTTCGGACCAGGGCAAAATCAGAATTTGACCTCCCAGGAGTTGCATCCGAAGATCTGGGACCACGGAAAGGATTCTGTGGCAACTCCTGGGAGCCACCCATGCCGTCTTGCTGGCTCTTGCGAGCCGACGCTGCCATCGGATCCACGCGAACCGGCGCGCAGTCGACGCTCACCGAAGCGGTTCGGCGCTGAGCCGGTCCCATCGCGTCAGCCACCAGGCGCAAACCGACGCAAACGCAAGCGAAAATCCAACCTGCGGGGGTGCACGAGACCCCGGGGATCCGCCACCGCAAGAGAACCCTCGGCCGCAGAGGGCGCAGTGCGGGCACCACGTGCTCTGCCATCACCGCGCGGCTGCTGATGCGGGAGGAGCAGCCGCTGCCGCTGGAGCCGGCAGACCCCAACGAGCACGAGCGGCGTCTCTGCCTATGGACGGCTGCGGTCTGGAGGTTCGTTTCCCGTGAAAGCCCTGGCGCGGCGGCCTCGGCGTCCCCGCCGCCTGCCCCCCACCCCCCCCGCCCCTTGCGTAGACCGCCCCCGCGCCCCCACCACAGCGCGGTAGCGACAACGAAGGTCCCGAGAACACTCGAAACAGTCCAGGAGGGCCCCAAGACGGACCAAGAGCGCCCCACGACGCTCACGATGGCCTCGAGCTGCTCATGGGCTCCCCCGAGACGCCCCAAGAGGGCCCCCATAGGACCCCCAAGAAAGCGGCAAGAAGGAACATCATAGACCATCGCGCGCGCTTCGCACGCGCTTGGATCCCAACGTATAGCGCGGAAACAGGGTGGGGAGGCGGGAAATCGTAAAAGCGGGGAGCAGAAGGCAAGGAAAGAAATAGGATGGACGGGGGGGGAAGAGGCGGAACGAGGGATGAGTGGGAGGATAAGGAAGAAGGCTGAGGATGAGGAGAATGAGCAACAGCGACAAAGAGACGACGAGGATGAGGATGAGAAGGGCGGGAGAGGAAGGAATCATGGGTGTGCTCGGGTAAGGAGGGGCTTCTGCTGCTGCTGCTGCTGCTGCTGCTCATCCTCCACCGTTTCCCATTGCTCCATCTCCTCCCCCATATCATCATCGCCATCACCATCACCATCGTCATCATCATCATCATCATCACCATCATCATCATCAGCAGCAGCAGCATGAGCATCAGCATCATCATCATCATCATCATCAGCAGCATCAGCATAATCATAATCATGATCATGATCATGATCATGATCATCAGCATCAGCATCGGCATCATTATCATCATCATCATGATCATCATCGTCATCATCATCACCATCACCTTCATCATCAGCAGCATCATCAGCATCATGACTCTCAGCATCAGCAGCATGATCAATCATCATACGCACCATCATCATCCCTGTCACCATCACATTCATCATCTTCATCATCATCATCAGCATCATCATCAACAGCATCAGCATCAACATCAACATCATCACCATCACCTTCATCATCATCATCATCATCAGCAACACATCATCAGACCATCATCGTCATCATCAACATCAGCATCATTATCGTCAACATCATCATCGCAAATACCATTACCGGCACCATCACAATCGCCACCCTGGCCAGCAATATCAGAATCATTGACATTATCGTGATCACCATGATGATCACCATCATCACTATCAGCATCACCATTATCATCATCGTCATCATCATCATCATCATCATCATCATCATCATCATCATCATCATCATCGTCGTGGCAGTTCTGGTGGTCGTCGTCATCATCACATTTTCATCATCACCACCACCACCATCCTCAACAACAATATCATAATCAACAACAGCATCAGACAGGCGACGCTTGCTGACGCCATGATAACTGGAGTAATAAGAAAAGGCCGAATTTCTAATATGGCGAAAAATATCCGATGTCTACGATCATCCAATGACCGGAGCAATCTGATCATCAAATTATCATAATAATTCGGCTGAAACCCGCTGTATTCCGAATTCGATACAGCTGGGGCCCGCTGCATTAGGAATCCTACACCACTGCTGCAGCTGCGTTCAGAATCCTATTAGCGTGGGCAAGCAGGGGTAAGAATCCGATACAGCTGACCTCGGTTGTACTGGTAATATTTTAGTCCAATGTTCAGAGTAATCTGATCCGATCATTCGGATAGTTGGACAGTCAAAACAATACAGTGGAGACTAGCTATATTTAGAATTGTTTACAGCTGGGGCCAGCTGTGTTCGGAATCCTGTGCAGCTGGGGCCAGCTGGGGTAAAAATCCTATACAGCTGGCCCAGCTGTGTTAGGAACCCTATACTCCCATGCTCGGGGAAATCAGTTCCGCTTGCTCTGGTCACTGGATGATCAGTGTAATGCAGCTGGGACCAGCTGAACTCATGAGGAATTCGTTCCAGCTGGAGCCAGCTGCAGTCGGGATTCCGAACAGCTGGGGCCAGCTTCATGAAGAATCCGTTCCAGCTGGTCCAGGCTGCATGAGAAATCCTAAGGGGATCCAATGATCTGAGCACTCGGACCCGACTGCCCCGACCATTGGATGATCAGAGCCGTACCGCTGGGACCAGCTGCATCAGGACTCCCATACGGCTGGGGCCAGCAGCGCGAGGGATCCTGTGCAGCTGGGTCCAGCTGCCTCAGGGATCCGATGCTTCTGGTCCCAGCTGTATCAAGAAATCCTGGTTCGATGGCCGATTCCGGAATCCCTAAACCCAAGATAGCGTCGTCTCTTGGGAGGTCGGCTTTTGCTTCCCCCTGCTTCCGCCGAGCTTCCGCTGGCCACTGCCGCTTTAGTCTCGCCGCCTTCCGCCGACCTTCCGCCGCCTTCCGCCGTGGAAGGGATGGCAACTCCATCGATCCTCGAAGGCAAGGCCATTTTTGGACCGCCCGAAACGTCTACTTGATGTCCCCCCCTGCCCAAATATCTTGCTGTTTCCTTTTTTTGTTCAACGCGTGGGCCCCACAGGTCTGGACCACTTCCTCTGGGCCGGCTTCTCGTCCCGAGCCGTTTTTGTTGACGGCCCGCGAAGCCCGGCGGGGGCCGCCGGGAGGCCCCAAAAACATTCCAAAACCGCCCACTCCCATTTTTGGGGGGGAACGTCGGATCTCTGGGTGCCCTCCTCCTTCTTTTTAAATGATCCCAGGGACACGCAAATAAAGAGACACGAATCCCAAGATTCCGTATATCCTGAGTATGTTCTGGGGGTTCGTCTTCTTCTCCACTTCCCATATCTTCCTGGGGATCGACGATTACCTGTGTCTGTGACTCTTCCCTCCTGATCTTTGGACCCCCGAAACCATGGTCGTCCCGATCCTCGCCCTCTCCCTGGCGCACAGCGCGCGCGCTGGACGCCGGCGCGGCAAGGCTCTCCTCGTTCTGGCGCCATCGGAACGGGTAGCCTGCGCGGCCGGTCCGTCTTCCCCGGAGGGCCACCCTGGCACGGCGCAGCCCCCTGGGGCGAGCCCCATCCAAGACGAAGCCAGGATAAAGTCGGGTGAAACAAAATCGGGAATCTCTTAAATACAACAGCTCTGGAAAATGTCTCGGGCGCCGCGGCCTGCTCAGAGCGTTCCAGGAGGCTCTGAGAGCGTTCCGGAAAGCTCTGGAAAAGATTGATCCTCGTCCTAGCCCCATCCAGCCCATCCCTCCCCAAAACAAGGGCTCCCAGCTTCGCGCTTCGCGCTGCGCGAAGCGCGAAGTGCGAACAACTTCGCGCTCTCGCGCCGCCTCCCAGGGGAGAAGGGGAGGAAGAGGAGGAATCGGAGCCGAACCGCGAAGCGCGAAGCGCGAATAACTTCGCGCCCTCGAGGGCGCCCTTGCCAAAACGAACTGCATTGTATTTTGCTGCATGCAGACTCGCCCCTCGCCTCTCGGCCTTGCCCGTCGTGCGTCCCCATCGCCCTCCGCGCGCCCTCTCCCGTCCCCGTTTTTGTTCGACGCGCAGCCCTGAACGCACCAGCATCAGTGGACATGTAGCAGCAGAGGAAAAGTAATTCGTGCAATTGTTTTTGTTGTTTCGCTCCGCGTCTGGCATCGGACGGGGCTTCGTGCTCGTACGGGGCCCTGCCATGCCTTGCAGACGGGCCCCACCTGGGGCTGCCAAACATGTCTGACACGTATGGTAGTCATGTAGCCGGCCGCCTCGATCTCTTCGGTGGTGCCGAACACTCCAAGCTACAATCCGCCAACACAAAATCCAGAGATGTGTCCGCTGGCTGCATCAACACCCCCTGAACACCCAATAGCTCGAGCTTCCATGTGTGTGTGTCTCTCTCTCTCTCTCTCCCTCTCGGTGCAAGCTTCAGCTCCAGCTCCAGCGTCCACCCACGAGCCACTTGGTCCTCATCCCACATCAAGAGGCAATTTCTGGGAGGGATAAGAGGACGCGCCTGCTTAAGGGGCCAACACGCCAAATCAGGCCGACTCAAGCAAAGATAGCGGCCAACTTAAAACCCAGATGAAACGGGATTAAGCCAGACTGCACAACATCAATCCGCCGGCCCCCTTGTGGGGCCACCAGGCTGTAGGCGCGAGGTTCGCAGTTTCCTGTACCAGTTGTAGCTTGTAGTTTCCAGTGTTACAGTTCTGCTTCTTGCTGGTTACTGTAACTAGTTGACTTATTGCTGGTTACTGTAACTAGTTGATTGACCGCGCGAGGGGGGGGGAGGCCCAAACCGGCTTTTTAGCACCCCCTGGGCGCGTTGTCTGAATTGCTGGGGGGGCTCGAAATCGCCACCCCTCACGCAGATCCGCGGGGTCAGGGTCCAAAAACACATGGGATTTGCCACATTTCTGAAATTCGGTGCCACCCCTCACGCAGATCCGCGGGGTCAGGGTCCAAAAACACATGGATTTGCCACATTTCTGAAATTCGGTGCCACCCCTCACGCAGATCCGCGGGGTCAGGGTCCAAAAACACATGGGATTTGCCACATTTCTGAAATTCGGTGCCACCCCTCACGCAGATCCGCGGGGTCAGGGTCCGCCACAGATTCCGGGGTCAGGGTCCAAAAACACAAGGGATTTGCACATTTCTGAAATTCGGTGCCACCCCTCACGCAGATCCGCGGGGTCAGGGTCCAAAAACACAGGGGATTTGCCACATTTCTGAAATTCGGTGCCACCCCTCACGCAGATCCGCGGGGTCAGGGTCCAAAAACACAGGGATTTGCCACATTTCTGAAATTCGGTGCCACCCCTCACGCAGATCCGCGGGGTCAGGGTCCAAAAACACAAGGGATTTGCCACATTTCTGAAATTCGATGCCACCCCTCACGCAGATCCGCGGGGTCAGGGTCCAAAAACACAGGGGATTTGCCACATTTCTGAAATTCGGTGCCACCCCTCACGCACATCCATCGCAAGGCGTGGTAACCCAAACTGCGAGAACTCCCTCGGCCCTTTAATCGCAAGGTGTGGTAACCAAGCCCGTAAACCATACACGTCTTACCAATCGCCAGGTGTGATAACCCCTCTTGTGATCAGTTGGTTTTGCTGATTGCGAATCGGCTTCGTATGAAGTTTCGATACTGCTTCACGACAGCGCCAAGGCCTCATGACTTAGCTCTTCCATGGCCCATTCTCCGAGAGAGGGGGCCGGCGGCAGGGGGCGAAGCCCTTACGGATAAGTATGCCAAATTTGGCCGGTTGTCGACCGCGGATCTACCAGAGCCAATGCTGCATTAAGCCTCCCAGGAGTGGCATCCGAGTCCCCCCCCCTACTACACACGCAGTGGAGGCGAACGACAAATCCGAGAGACCGAAACCACAACAGTTGCGTGTAAGGCTAGCTGAGAACATCCTCGAGGTACGAGTCACATTCACGCGCTGTCCCCCCCGGCCCCGCACTTGAAAACATGCTGTGGGCCCGTTGGGGGTCTCGGGTCCGTCTTGGGAGGGATCGTCCTTCCGAGCTCTCCCAAAGCTCTGATGAAGAGTCACAAGGCCGTCTCGATGGATTTGGGGCCATCTTGGAGCCTTCTCGGAGCGGTCTTCGGCTGCCTTGGGGAGCTCTCGTGCCGCTCTGGGACATTCTCGGAGCTGTCGAAGGCACCTTCGGGGGGCGTCGTGGGGCTCTCTGAAGCCTTCCTGGAGCCATCTCATTGAGGCAAGAGCACCATGCACATGCACCGATTCTGGCCAGGCCCATCCAGAGCCCAGGATCGGTGCATACGCCCTCCTACCTTGGCCAGGAAGGCATATGCACCGATCCTGGGCCCAGGATGGGCCAGGCCAGGACCGGTGCATGTGCATAGTTCTCTTCGCCCGATCTCACGCAACAAAAGACAACGACATAAAGAAAACAACACATTTCCGCACGTTGCAATTGCTACTACGTCGTTACAAAATGTTCGTACCGTTTCAAGAGAGCGTCAAGATGACATGGGCTCCGTCCGTCACTCCTGGGCGAACGGGCGGGCGGAGGATAACCCTCGTTCCGACCCTGCCGAGCTGGCCTCCTCTTTCCCTTTAGATCCTGGCGGGCCGAACCAAAAACACAGGTATCAAAGATCCAGCAATTTCGAATTCCGGAACCTTATCCTCGTATATACTCCCATATTTCTGGGACGGGGTACTTGGAAGAAATCCCACCCTCAAAAAACACGGGCTTAGAAATCCCACCAGACGGGATCCTGCCCCTGCAAATGCAACATGATTGCATTTCACTAGATCACGCAATTTCCGGAACGCCGACGTATTGGCCTTCCAGGGCCTCGTTGTTCGCTTCTTGGGGGCGGCGTGATGCCTCTTGGTGACGGCTTGGAGGGAGTGGGGCTTCCCTGGGCCTCTGCTGGCTGGTGTTGCAGCCCTCTGGTCGGGTCTGGGGCCGTCTCGGAACTATCTTGGGGACACGGCGCCCTCTTGGGTGCCTTTTTTTTTTTTTGCGCGCGACCCCTTCGGGGGCCCTCTGGAATCGATATGGGGCCTCCGTGCGCGGCATAAGACACCGCGCGCGGCTGGGTCCCCGCGACGGAAGTGGGCGCTGCAAAACCTGTGGCGTTCGCCCACGGCCGTGTAGCTAGGTTGATTGGTGCAGCGAGCACTTGGGCCCGGGCCGCGCGGCAGCCGCTCGAGGAGGGGCAAAAGAACCAGCCGGCACGGAGAGACCGGGCACGGACGTCGAGCCGGCCGAGTGCGGGCGGCAGGCACGGACACGCCGAGCGGCCCGCCCCCGCCGAGCGCGGGCGGGCCGGCGGACAAAACTGGGCGCTCCCGCGGCGCTCCGCGCTCCGCGCAGGGGGAGCCCCGAGTGCGCAGAAGAGGTCTTGGGGAGAGGGCCTCTTGGAGAATAGAGGAAGAACAGAAACGGAACGACGAGAGCACACGAGGATCCAACGATTTGCCACCGAAGCCCTCCAGGCTCAGGCGGCGAACTCGTTGGCTGCGGCGTACTCAAGCCCCGCTGCGATCTCCTCCTTCAGCACGGGCTTGAGCGCCTCCAGGCGCCCCTTCTCGTAGTCGCTCAGGGGCCCCAGATCGTGCACGGTCTCCACGCCGTCCTTGCCGAAGGTCACCTTGGAAGCAAAGTACGGCAGGTCCGTGATCGTGGACTCCACGTAGGCGCACTCCGTCACGGGCGTGCCGGCCAGGCCGGACAGCACGGCCCGGCCGAGGCGGGCACCCGCGAAGGCCATGGAGAGGGTGGCGCTGCCCTTGCCGTTCTTCGCGGCCACCACGACGGTGCCCGCGTCCTGCACCTTCTTGTCCAGGTCGGGGACCTTGTCCGCGGGTATGGTCGCCCCCGCCGCGTCCTGGGAGAAGAGCGGCAGGATCGTGGTGCCCGCGTGCCCCCCGATGACCGGGATGGAGATGCCGCCGACGGGCTGCCCGGTGACCTCGTGTACGAACTTCTCCGCACGGACGCAGTCCAGCGTGGTGATGCCGACGATCTTCTTCGGGTTCAGGCCCTTCTTCTTCCAGAGCTCGCACATCGCCGGCACCACCGAGTTCACGGGGTTCACGATCAAGGCCACGACGGCGTCGGGGCAGAACTTGGCGCAGGCCTCCACGATGTTCTTCGCGATGCCCGCGTTGATGTTCAGCAGATCCTTGCGGTCCTGTCCGGGCTTGCGCGGGACGCCCGCGGGTATCAGCACGAGGCTGCACCCGGTGAGGCACTCCTCGGCCTTGTCGATGGCGCGGTCGTCCTTGTCGAAGGCGTAGCCCTTGACCACGGCCTTGTGGTTGAGGTGCGACAGGTCAGCCGCCACGCCCTCCGCGGGCACCATCGCCAGGGTCAGGTCGTACACGCACAGCTCCGACACGTTGGGGTCCATGGCCATCAGCAGCGACAGGGGCTGCCCGATGCCGCCCGCGCCGCCGACCACGCAGACCTTGTAGTTGGCCATTGCTGTGTCTGTGGCGGGCTCGGTCGCGTGAAGGGGTCAAGGGCAGGGCGGTGCACTTGAGCCAAAATGGCTACGGACGCCCTCTTGGGTGCACCTTCATTGGAGTCTCTGTGCCCTCCGCGACCATATCATAAACGTGATCTCGACCGGATTTCGTCCAGATTTCGACCACCCCTATTCCCTATTCACCCTTTCATCCAGATTTCGCCCAGGTGTCTACCAAATCCAGCGAAGTCCGGACGAAATCCTAAAAACCGCAAGGCGTTTATAGGACCCCCTGGGACCCCCCAATGAGGACCACACCTTCATCCCCCTTCCTGTGGGCGCGGTCTCCGGCCGGGGTCGCCCCTGGAAAACTGCCAAACCCCTACGGCAGGTTCGTGTCGTGACGACCCCGGCGTTGGTCTCTGACCCCGCGTGAGTCGCTCAGGCTTCCACGATGGGCGGCTTGTCGACAGCGCAGGTCGCTCCATGGTGGCCGATTCCGGGCCGCTGGCGGCGTTCCACCTTGGCCGCCCGCGGCGGGGGGTCGCCGCCGCGTCGGCACGGCACGAACCTGCAGCACCGCTCCGACGCACGGATTTCGGGGAGACGTAAGACCCGGTTACGGGGGACTCGGAAATCCCCGACGAGGTCGTCAAAAAAATGACGAGGCCGAGCCTGCATTTTGACGAGGCCTCCCGCTGCAGACATCCCACGAAACTCCCCCTCGTCAAAATCCGAGGCGCGGTCGTCAAAAAACGATGGCGAACCCGAGTCCTGGCAAACCCAGGTCATACGCTCCCCCGAGGATTCTTTCAGTACCCGGCCCCTGAAGTCCCGGCCAGTGCCCCCCGGGGCCGATTTGTCAAGCCGCATGGTTTGCTGACGATCCCGGGGCCCAGCGAGGGCCCTCGGAGGCCGAGCCCGTTAAGAGAAGCCTTCGGACGGATGCCCTTTTCAGTGCGTGGGAGGCCCGTGGAGGCCAGGAAGCTCTCCAGAGGGCAGCGCAGCAGCCATGCAGCTCTGCAGCCTCAGTGCGCGGAATCGTGGCGCTCTCTAACAAGGGAAATGTCGACCCCTATCCCAGGCTTCGTGGGGTTTCCGAATGGACCAGAAATTTGGGGCCCAACCCTGGGATATACGATGGGGTGGTGCCCATCCTCGATAGGGGTGCGTCCGAATAGCCCCCTTGGGGTGTATCCCAAGGATTTTAAATTTTTCTGAACGGCCAAACTTTTTGGGCGAAACTCGGGGATTCGGGGAGAAACATCGCCTGCGACTCTCCCCTCCGAGACAGCCCCAAAGGCAGGCTCCGCCGAGCCTGCTCGGGAGAGCCTCGGAGCTCTGCGGGCGCCTCGGGGAGGGCCCCGGGCGGGTGCCTCTCCGGGCTGCCCGGGGGGGCCGTCCTCTGGCGGGTGCCTTCGGGCTGCCCAGGCAGGGGAGCCCAGCATCGAATCCAGGAGTCGGATCGGCGATCGAAATAAGTCGGATCGGCAGAAATCGGCAGCCGAGTCGGGGAAAGTCGAATCGGCGGAAATCGGCAGGCCAATATGCGTCCAAAAAGACATCGGAGCCCAGATCGGGATCCGAAATCGAATCGAATCGGAATCGGAATCCATCGGAGTCGAATCGAATCGAATCGGAGGATTCGAAACGAGCCCTGCCCAGGGGCGCGTTCGGTGCCTTCGGTCGCCTCAGGGAAGCGCCATGGCGGGTACGGCCTTCGAGCATGACTTCCAATGCTGCGCTGGCTCGACGGCGGGGATTGCCGCGGGCAGCTGGATAGAACAGGGGAGGGGGACGGGGAAGGAAGGGGAGGTCGGAGGGAAGAGGTGGGCTGAACAGGGACGCACAGACGCGTCCCCAAAGGCTTCCAAGAGGGCGCGACAGCCCTGAGAGGTTCCCAAGACTGCCGATGAGGCCCGCAAGACGGCCGATGCGGCCTCCAAGAACCCACACAGAGGCCACCCAGCCACACAAGGGTCCTCCGCCGAAAGATGACCCACGAGACCGCCAGCAGGCCGCCCCGAAGCCCCCTCTGGAGGCCTCAGAGGCCCCCGAGAGGCCCCGAAGAAGCCCGCACGAGGCCCACAAGGCCCCTTGGAGGCCTCGGAGGCCCCCGAGAGGCTCCGAAAAGGCCCTCACGAGGCCCACAAGAGCCACTAAAGAGGCCCCCGAGAGGTACCCACGCGAGCCCTCCGTGAGGTGTCGCAGAGGCAGCCCAAGGCACCCTGCGGTGCACTCGAGAGGCCTCTCGCCCACGACCCGGGCATGGAGGTGGGCTGGGCCGAAGGCCGCCAAATTTAAGTCGGGCGTGTCCCCCTACAGGGGGATTTCAACGCTAAATAAAAAATACGCCAACAATGCTCCGAAGATGCCCAGAAATAGTCAACCAATGGTCCCCAGACTATTGTTTTGACTGTTTTTGAGTATTCCCCCTGTAGGGGGACAGACCCGGTTTAACGCTAGACAGAGAGGCGGCACGGTGTGATCTCTCCTCGTCTTGAGGTGCTCTTCAAGCCGTCCTGGGATCAACGTCGGCCTGCCTTCCCTGCCTTCGTGCGCGCCCCGGCTCCCTCGCGGCAGTCCCTGGGCCCTTCTTCCCGCCCCCCCCTCGGGGTCGGCCGAACCAGCCGTGAGGCCTCTCCGATACCACGTGTTCGCTCATCCAAGGCCAAGGTTCTTCTAAAGTCAAAAAATGCGCGCTCCCAGGGTCACAATCCCTGGCACATTAGAACAAGTGTGCGCTCCTGGGGCCACGTCGTCTTGTAAAGCGCAACAGATGCGCGCTCCCTACGCCGCAATATGTCGTAAGTGATTGCGAGCGTGCGCGTCCGAAACCACAATCCATTGTCCATTACAACGGGTCCGTCCACACGCCATTGAAATTGCAGCACATGCGCATATGCGCGCTCCAGAGGCAAGCATTTATTGTACATTCTTGCAGGTGCGCGCTCCCAAGGCCACCATCGTTCCTATCTTGCGAAGGATGCGTGCTCCCGAGGCCAAAGGTCGTTTCGCTTCAATGATTGCCGTGGCCAGTGAGACGGTTACACGCACACGACAAACCTCGCCCTTACCATGACGTGCAAGACCCAGCCCTGAACAAGCCAAACTTGAAGGGGAACTGGGACACACAAATAAATACACACAAATAAAAAGATTCCACATATTTTCCCATATTTTCTGGGTTTCTGTCTTCCCGCCCAATTCCCATATTTTCCCATATTTTCCTGGGGACCGACGATTAATTGTGTCTGTGTGTTTTTTTCCCTCCTGAAAACTGTACACGACAAAACCCAAGACGACCCCACCTACACGACAACATTTGAATCAAATACGACGCACACGACCAAGGCCCCGAACCGGTCCGCCGACCCCCGCTTGCCGAGAGTGCAACAAAGGCGTGTGAGAGGATTGGCTGTCCTGGTCTCCCGTTCCCAGTGCCCTGGGGGATGCCCATTTGGGCGGGCCAGGGGGGGCGTTCGGGGATGGACAGACCCCCCTTTAGTAAAACGTGGTTTAGTGAAAACGACCTGAGGCCCAAACCTGGCGGGCGCAAGACTGGAAAATAACGGCCACGGCGCCCTCTCGAGAACCGAAAACGGACAATTCACTAATCGACGTGTCACTGTTGGGGGTTCTGTCCACCCCCGAGGCGTATCTCAGGGCGCGTCGACGCTCCCCCAGCGCCTCCGGAGGCTCCATCTCTACGCTCCGTGGCCTCCAAGATGCCCAAGACTTCATCTAAGCTTGCTCAAACTGGGCTCCAGCACGCCAAGGAGGCCTCAAAAACAACCGAGATGGCCCCAAGACGGCCCAAGAAGCCTCCAAGTCGCCCCTAGAGAGCTTCAAGAGAACCTCCAAGAGGGCTCCGAGACTAACATCGGCCCAATTCCTAAGAACACGTTCATTTTTAGCAGCTTCACCCTCTCGGTTTCAGCAATGTCCAAAAAGGCCCAAGATGCCCCCAAGATCACTCCAGGACGGCCCACGAGGTCCCAAACAGTGCCCCAAGACGGCCCAACATGGGAGAGCAGAACACCGAGCTCAACACAAACCACATCTATGTTCAATTTAATTTTGGAACTGTGTGTTGAGCCAGGTCGAGCGCGTCCTGATTCGCCGCACTGCAGGGGAGAGAACTGGGGAGAGAGAAGGTGAGCAGCGCTTGAGAACCCCGCCGACGAGGCCCACCCGCGAGAGCCCCGGCAGCCAGCGACGAGCGCCGCAATCTGGAGCAGGGACCGACCGCCCCGGCATTCCTATAGTCCTACCACGAGATGTTCCTAGAACCCCAAAGTGTCCTGAGAACCAAAACACTGTTCTTAGAACATAGGCCCGATGTGATAAAATAAGACAGTCCCAACCAGGAATGTTCTAAGAACATGTCGCGGGAACCACAAAAAAGGTTCTTAGAACATTGTTTGGTAGGGCTATAGGCACGCCAGGACGCTTCGCCACTGCTTGAGTAATCTGGAGCCTCCACGAAAAACACTGGACAAAGGCCGCGGAAGGCCCCAGCCGGCCTAAGCTAAGCGCTCAAGATTCTGAGCCCTCGAGCCCAGGCCATACCTGCAAACCCCGCAGGACCCGGCGCCCTCAGGGGCTCCGATCCATTGGGCATCTCGGTGCTGGTGTCGGTTTTCTGATGAATGCCAGTATCGGAGAGACCGTACTGGCACCAAGACGCCACTGGAAAAGTTGGAAGCACTTTCCCCGTGGACGCCAGTCGGGTAAGCGGGGCACCCTGAAGCCCGAGGGCAGGCCAGGGCCGCCGAGCATCGCGGGTCCTACTGCGCACGAAGGCTGAATATCAGGACTCGCGGGGCTCGAAGGGCCCAGGGCCTCATATTGACCACTGGCCTCAGTGGGGCTCACTGGAAGGGAAGAGTGGGAGTGCCAGCGGCGTCCTGCAGCTGTCCTCACACTGTTCATTGACAGCGGACAGACGAGGGCGAAGATGCGGACACGCAGGTATGCAACTGAGACTCGGGATTATTTCTCCCAGAAGGATCATGGCTCTTGGTGTTGGTGTTGGTGTCAGGCTCTGGTGCGTCAGCAGGTCACAGAAAGGCAAGACGGCCCATGAGGGACCCACAATAGCCCCAAGAGAGGCCCAAGGGGGGAACCTCCGA